GCAGCAGTAGTAGCAGTAGCAGTAGCAGTAGTAGCAGTAGCAGTAGTAGTAGCAGTAGCAGTAGCAGTAGCAGTAGCAGTAGCAGTAGTAGTTGTAGTAGTGCTAGTAGTAGTACTTGTAATAATGATAGTAATAATATAGTTTGTCAACTGTAAATAGTGAATACTAGCAGTTTGGTACGGTTTGGTTGGTTTGGCCACTCTCAGCAATATTCCATCTATATGACTTTGTGTATAATCGAGTCTGGAGCACACAATCCAGTGATCAACAGCATGAGCATCGCTCCACGCAATTGGGATACGATCACATGTGTCAACCAAGTCAGCGAGTCTGACCACCCGATCCCGTGGTGATCGAGACTCAATCACCGGGTTGTCTGGTCCTGATCATTTACAGTGAGTGAGTGATTTTAGTTTTACACCGCTCTTAGCAATATTCCAGCAATATCACGAAGGGGAGACACCAGAAATGGGCTTCACACATTGAACCGGTGTGTGGAATCGACCTTGGAACTTTGGCCTGGCGGGTGAACGCTTTTATCACTAGGCTTCCTCAGCGCCCCCTGTTTGAACATAAGACAGGAAATATTTTTCTGGTACTGACAGCTACAAAATACTTGACACATCGTCAGAGCACTACATATATTTTTACAATGTATTATTAGATTCATCAAGGAAACGGAAACTTGTAGGTAATTCAAAATAACAATAGGGAGTCCTGTGGAATTAGCTTGTTGAAACACTGCAGGATATCAGTATCCGTGTCTATTTATATGTATAATAAGTATTATACTCCCACTTTGTCCGGATCCGTGAAATTAGTCAACACCTACGCGAATCAAACACTCACTCAGTGTGAATTGGCGCGACATGTTTCCGCATCACGGGTTAGGATCGTGTCGTCTCGAACAGACCACGCATATGAAAGATGAAACTCTGAAAACATTAGTGAACACTTTGGAAGGATGTTCCACGACCCACCAAATCCAAATAATCACGGTGATTGGGTGTCCGGGCGGTGGGTAGTATAATGACTAAAGCATCATTCACTCGTAACGCCGAATGCCTGGAGCTTGATTCCCGATGATATCTGTGTTACCTTAATGAATACCGGCGCAGCTGTTTGCGAAACCGCTAGATTTATCAACAGTCACGTAAACCATGAACCCCGTGCTAAATGTGATGATACCTAGTGTTATTACTCGCCCGTGGAAGATGTTGCAGTGTAATATATTTTCGGCAATAATACACTAGTGTAATACCGGTAGACGTATGACGTCATAATGGTTTACAGTTATGACGTCGCAATGCTAATACCTCTGTTACAATGGTATTAGACACTGCTTGACACGTGGATAGCTCAGAGAGTCATCGCACTGTAGTTTTTTTATCAATTTATGTTGGAGACTGATAAACAAAATATTTAACTAGCTAGCTTAAATACCATTTTATTAAAATCATGAAAGATTTGGTATCATTTTGATACTGAGCCAATAACTCGTTTAAATAAAAATGGTATTACACGAAAGGTAGTATCATCTATATAGAGATACACATATTGAATGAGTGAGGGGATATGATGAGAACTAGTAAAGTCAAGTAGCCAAGTAGCAGGCGTTCATTGTTATAACGTACGCAGATCGCTCAACATAAGACACGGAATAGTTAAACTGTGATTCAATTCTTATGTACGTATTACAGGCCGTGAAAAATTTCTGTCTCCCTATAAATTACCCGGATCCTTCCCTTACATCCCGGTTCATGGCCGGGACGGATAAAATCGTGACGCTTCTCGGTTCAAAAGCGTGGCCTTCGCGGTACTTGCAATGCAATGGTATGGCTGTATGAAACGCGGCACGGCATCTTTAGCTTTGGCGGTACTGCCCTACTCCCCTTGGAAATTAGCTCTCCCGGGGAATCCGAAATATACAGTTTAGCCTTCCCGGGACATCTGAAAAACAAATTTTAGCCTTCCCGGCACGACACCTACATCCCTACAGCCACATACAGACCAATTTAAAACCTCGAGAGTCACAGATACACGCAGGTTCGTATGTCTGTATCCTACTGTAAGTTCTTCATGGCTTACTGCACCATGCGGTCCAGGTGTTAGACTAGACATTTATGACACTGATTCTTTCTGGTATTTAATCGCACCCATCAGACATCATTCCACTCCGAGTTTCTATGTCTACAACAACAAGCGATGGGGTTCTATCCAAGGAGAAGTAGTACACAAGCCACATAAGCAGGCAGCTGGCGCCACGTGACTGGAGCAGAACTGGTTGTGAGTGAGTGAGTGAGTTAAACTTTGACATCGCATCGGCAATATTACAGCCATATAGCGATGAAAACAAGGTAATCAATTTAAATAGTTGTTGACAAAGGACAGTAAAACAACTAGAATGTCACAGATATAAATGTAAAACTAGTAATTAAATCTAAAACATTTTAACTATAGAGGACAATACAATACAAAAATAGGCTATAGGCTAACAACTGAAGGTAGATCACCATACTAGGGACCAGAACTGGTTGTGCAGGATACAGGAGAGAAACCATGAGATCACTGTGATAAGTGTTGGCATAGTGTGGCCACAGTTGCTGATGCAAGGGCTCTGCTGGACAGATCTGGCTGTGCAGGATACAGGAGAGAAACCATGAGATCACTCTGATAAGTGTTGGCATAGTGTTGCCACAGTTGCTGATGCAAGGGCTCTGCTGGACAGATCTGGCTGTGCAGGATACAGGACAGACACTATGAGATCACTCTGATAAGTGTTGGCATAGTGTTGCCACAGTTGCTGATGCAAGGGCTCTGCTGGACAGATCTGGCTGTGCAGGATACAGGAGAGAAACCATGAGATCACTCTGATAAGTGTTGGCATAGTGTGGCCACAGTTGCTGATGCAAGGGCTCTGCTGGACAGATCTGGCTGTGCAGGATACAGGAGAGAAACCATGAGATCACTGTGATAAGTGTTGGCATAGTGTGGCCACAGTTGCTGATGCAAGGGCTCTGCTGGACAGATCTGGCTGTGCAGGATACAGGAGAGAAAACCATGAGATCACTGTGATAAGTGTTGGCATAGTGTTGCCACAGTTGCTGGTGCAAGGGCTCTGCTGGACAGATCTGGCTGTGCAGGATACAGGAGAGAAACCATGAGATCACTGTGATAAGTGTTGGCATAGTGTGGCCACAGTTGCTGATGCAAGGGCTCTGCTGGACAGATCTGGCTGTGCAGGATACAGGAGAGAAACCATGAGATCACTGTGATAAGTGTTGGCATAGTGTGGCCACAGTTGCTGATGCAAGGGCTCTGCTGGACAGATCTGGCTGTGCAGGATACAGGAGAGAAACCATGAGATCACTCTGATTAGTGTTGGCATAGTGTGGCCACAGTTGCTGATGCAAGGGCTCTGCTGGACAGATCTGGCTGTGCAGGATACAGGAGAGAAACCATGAGATCACTGTGATAAGTGTTGGCATAGTGTGGCCACAGTTGCTGAAGCAAAGGGCTCTGCTGGACAGATCTGGCTGTGCAGGATACAGGAGAGAAACCATGAGATCACTGTGATAAGTGTTGGCATAGTGTGGCCACAGTTGCTGATGCAAGGGCTCTGCTGGACAGATCTGGCTGTGCAGGATACAGGAGAGAAACCATGAGATCACTGTGATAAGTGTTGGCATAGTGTGGCCACAGTTGCTGATGCAAGGGCTCTGCTGGACAGATCTGGCTGTGCAGGATACAGGAGAGATACCATGAGATCACTCTGATAAGTGTTGGCATAGTGTTGCCACAGTTGCTGATGCAAGGACTCTGCTGGACAGATCTGGCTGTGCAGGATACAGGAGAGAAACCATGAGATCACTGTGATAAGTGTTGGCATAGTGTGGCCACAGTTGCTGATGCAAGGGCTCTGCTGGACAGATCTGGCTGTGCAGGATACAGGAGAGAAACCATGAGATCACTCTGATAAGTGTTGGCATAGTATGGCCACAGTTGCTGATGCGAGGGATCTGCTGGACAGATCTGGCTGTGCAGGATACAGGAGAGAAACCATGAGATCACTGTGATAAGTGTTGGCATAGTGTGGCCACAGTTGCTGATGCAAGGGCTCTGCTGGACAGATCTGGCTGTGCAGGATACAGGAGAGAAACCATGAGATCACCCTGATAAGTGTTGGCATAGTGTTGCCACAGTTGCTGATGCAAGGGCTCTGCTGGACAGATCTGGCTGTGCAGGATACAGGAGAGAAACCATGAGATCACTGTGATAAGTGTTGGCATAGTGTGGCCACAGTTGCTGATGCAAGGACTCCTCTGGACAGATCTGGCTGTGCAGGATACAGGAGAGAAACCATGAGATCACTGTGATAAGTGTTGGCATAGTGTGGCCACAGTTGCATATGCAAGGGCTCTGCTGGACAGATCTGGCTGTGCAGGATACAGGAGAGAAACCATGAGATCACTGTGATAAGTGTTGGCATAGTGTGGCCACAGTTGCTGATGCAAGGGCTCTGCTGGACAGATCTGGCTGTGCAGGATACAGGAGAGAAACCATGAGATCACTGTGATAAGTGTTGGCATAGTGTGGCCACAGTTGCTGATGCAAGGGCTCTGCTGGACAGATCTGGCTGTGCAGGATACAGGAGAGAAACCATGAGATCACTGTGATAAGTGTTGGCATAGTGGGGCCACAGTTGCTGATGCAAGGGGCTCTGCTGGACAGATCTGGCTGTGCAGGATACAGGAGAGAAACCATGAGATCACTGCTGATAAGTGTTGGCATAGTGTTGCCACAGTTGCTGATGCAAGGGCTCTGCTGGACAGATCTGGCTGTGCAGGATACAGGAGAGAAACCATGAGATCACTCTGATAAGTGTTGGCATAGTATGGCCACAGTTGCTGATGCGAGGGCTCTGCTGGACAGATCTGGCTGTGCAGGATACAGGAGAGAAACCATGAGATCACTGTGATAAGTGTTGGCATAGTGTGGCCACAGTTGCTGATGCAAGGGCTCTGCTGGACAGATCTGGCTGTGCAGGATACAGGAGAGAAACCATGAGATCACTGTGATAAGTGTTGGCATAGTGGGGCCACAGTTGCTGATGCAAGGGCTCTGCTGGACAGATCTGGCTGTGCAGGATACAGGAGAGAAACCATGAGATCACTGTGATAAGTGTTGGCATAGTGTGGCCACAGTTGCTGATGCAAGGGCTCTGCTGGACAGATCTGGCTGTGCAGGATACAGGAGAGAAACCATGAGATCACCCTGATAAGTGTTGGCATAGTGTGGCCACAGTTGCTGATGCAAGGGCTCTGCTGGACAGATCTGGCTGTGCAGGATACAGGAGAGAAACCATGAGATCACTGTGATAAGTGTTGGCATAGTGTTGCCACAGTTGCTGATGCAAGGGCTCTGCTGGACAGATCTGGCTGTGCAGGATACAGGAGATAAACCATGAGATCACTCTGATAAGTGTTGGCATAGTGTGGCCACAGTTGCTGATGCAAGGGCTCTGCTGGACAGATCTGGCTGTGCAGGATACAGGAGAGAAACCATGAGATCACTCTGATTAGTGTTGGCATAGTGTGGCCACAGTTGCTGATGCAAGGGCTCTGCTGGACAGATCTGGCTGTGCAGGATACAGGAGAGAAACCATGAGATCACTGTGATAAGTGTTGGCATAGTGTGGCCACTGTTGCTGATGCAAGGGCTCTGCTGACAGATCTGGCTGTGCAGGATACAGGAGAGAAACCATGAGATCACTGTGATAAGTGTTGGCATAGTGTGGCCACAGTTGCTGATGCAAGGGCTCTGCTGGACAGATCTGGCTGTGCAGGATACAGGAGAGAAACCATGAGATCACTGTGATAAGTGTTGGCATAGTGTGGCCACAGTTGCTGATGCAAGGGCTCTGCTGGACAGATCTGGCTGTGCAGGATACAGGAGAGAAACCATGAGATCACTGTGATAAGTGTTGGCATAGTGTGGCCACAGTTGCTGAAGCAGGGACTCTGCTGGACAGAACTGGGTTGTACGCCTTTCGACTATATTCCAGGACCACTAGGGAGGACACCAGAAACAGACTTCACAACATGTATGTATGTATGGGATCAAATCCCGGCCTTCGGGCTTAGTACTGGGCTGCCCTATTGCCACGTTCCTGCTACTAACAGTTGCTACTGTTTGTTGAGTCTGCATGTTCCAATGAGCCTGTTAGGTTTGCCGCCTCTGTTCGCAATATTCCAGCCATATCAGGGTGGAGAACTTTAGACATTGGCTTTACGCAATGTACTAATGTGGGGACTTGAACCTCGTTGTCATATCACTAGGAAAAAGTCATGGAATAGTATATTCCAGTTGATATAACTAGTTGAGTGAGTTTAGTTTTAGGCTGCTTTTAGCAATATCCCAGCAATATCACGGCGGGGGACACCAGAAATGGGCCTCACACATTGTACCCATATACTAGTTGATTTCCAAAGCGGACGCAGACACTAATTATTAAATACACCAACTTATGAAATGAAGACTTAATGTATCTATTTCCCTTCTTGAATGGGAATCCGACGGTTACAATCGCATCTGATCCGGAGTTGGCAAGTACAAAACACACAAAACTGATTGAAAAATGTCTCGAATCGCACATCCAGCCTTCTAGAAACTATCCCCTCCCGACATTTCCAAAATGATCAAGCTTGCAATGTTCATCTTCACGAGGCCGGAAGTCACCGACATTTTCCGAGCGCTTCAATCATTCTCTACCACTTTCAATACGGCTACTAATATCACCTACACATAACAATATACCCACTAAGAATGTACGTGTTTTCACAGATATACGTTCATATGTTCAGATGTATGCACAATTCACATTTACACATTAACATTCATGAACACGGTTTTAAATTACAGGATGCATAATTATAATGTATTATCGGCTTATAAGAACAGATAGCGGACAATATCCTGCTCTTGTGAGGCGCCACCATCGCCTTGTAGCCGTGTCGTGGCTCTATATTTCCCATGCGCATAATGTTTCACTGATTGGTATATATAGCCACTGTGTTCTGTTCCAGTGAGACACCATTAAGTCTGGCAATATCTTCCTGGTTCTGATTGGTACATATAGCCACTGTGTTCTGTTCCAGTGAGACACCATTAAGTCTGGCAATATCTTCCTGGTTCTTTGCTTACAGGAAACCTATGAACGTTGGTTCGAGTCATGGTTTCGCCCTGCTTCTATTTCCAGAGGCAGGATGACAACATGATAGAGGTCTACGACGTGGTTCACTTCGTGTTTACATCTGACATCAAGCTGACTCCCCTGATGTAGTTAAAACACTGTTTTAAGCGGCGAAAACTAATCTCATTCACATTACACGAAATATGAAGCAATGACGTATTGTTTGCTTTCATCACCCAGGACGTAATTGATATGCTCTGCACATCAGCACATTACATTACTTTCAATTAATGGCGAATTATTAACTTCAAGATGCATTTGTGATAGATGTCTACAGACGTAGCAGGTCTCATGGATGGTTAGACGTTGTGGAATGTTGGTAATTTCACATTGCTGTAACACGTTACTGATGAAAATGTAAACGCTCGAATAACATTCAGGATAATCTCATTACATACAATGTAGCTAGTGTTCGTTTTGCAGACCGCCTAGGAAGCCTGGTGAATCTTCCCGGAGAGTGGAGGTCGGCTCGATATCAAGGTTGCATCATGCCGAAAGATAGTACCTCGGGTTATCCTGCCTAGTTCTCGGAATTAAAGTGAGTGAGTTTAGTTTTACGCCCCTTTTAGCAATATTCCAGCAATACCGCGGGAGACACCAGAAATGGGTTTTACACATAGTACCCAATACTACCCATGTGGGGAATCGAACCCGGGTCTTCGGCGTGACAAGCGTGCGCTTTAACAACTAGGCTACCCCACCACCCCGGAATTAAAGTAAAGAACAAGCTCTTGCTACTTGCGGAGTCAGAGTGATGCAGTATGATGAGCCTCAATGATACATCCATGTTAAACTGTAAACGCGCACACGCATACGCACAAGCACATACTAAGAAACGCACGGACATTGCTTTTACGTCTCATTTAAGATTTCAGCATGCAGCCTGGGACAAATTTGAACCTCTTTCTTACTCACTTTTAATCATGAATGAGACTTCCTGAGCGTGAAAATAGATCATCCTGTTGTGGTTTGCCCGTACATAAGGAACAGCGGAGTTACAATTAGTAGCCTGGGCCCCCGTTTCACAAAGCGATCGTAGCGCTAAGGTGATCGTAACTCCCATACATGAACGACATACGACAGTCGTTGCGCTACGATAGCTTTGTGAAACGGGGCCCTGCCTGGTATCAATACTGCACCCATCGGGAAGATCAATACCTTCTCTATCAGAGCTCCCACAGTGAAAACAGACTCTTGACTCCTTAGCAAATATTTTACTTTTGGTTTAAACTGTTGTTTTTTTTAGTTTTATAAATGAAATCGGTATTGATAAACAAGAATAATTCCTTTTATGAATCCAGCCCCAGGAAGACAGATTACAGCTGGAGAGTTCATATATACACATTAATGTTCTATATCAGTGTACAACGTTCAAGATTAATCTGTAACCATAACCGGGAGATAGTGGTATCCGAGCTACATCTATGCAGTATTAAAATATTACATTTGGCATAAATTGCATAATTCAGCGATAAACGAGACAGGCGCCAGTTCAGCCCATGGGTTAACACATGTGATACACACTGCACTTGTGGAAGGAAGGAAGCGTCGTCAGTGCTGAACTACGGCGATGTTGTATGGTTCTGGCTGACCCAAAACTTCATAACCTCCAGGGCCAATGTACCGATATATATCAGAGCATAATGTAAATGAGTATTTCAAAGCTAGACATCTAGTCTATATTTTATTCCAAATTTACCGTTTTGGCTACACGTATAATTTATGCTTAAAAATTAGGAGCTTAATTAGAAAATAAAAGGACCGAAAGTTACGTTGACGTGGAGGCTGTGGTCGTGAACGTTTAAAGGGTGAGTACACCCAGTCAAATTGGCTGTCCCAGTGTGTGGGATTCAAGTCATCTTTGTTTGTTTGCGTTTACGTTTATGTGAATGCAACCGGGATGCTGAAAGACAGCACACTTTATGTAACCATGGTAACAGGGTGAATTTCATATTTAACTACAATGTCCAGAATTTAATGATTTGAGAATAAAGTATTTAAGATTTCTCGATGGCAAATATATTATTATCTAAATCCCAAATGATAAATTTGCTGAATTCACAAAATATACTAGCCACATAAAGAAACTGTGCATTGTCAAAATATTATCCCAGTTGATAAGTACGATAACAATGTCAAAGGTACATATAAACTTTAATGGAGGGATCATGAGACCATAACAAGTCGGGAGAATTTCAATTGAAAAGTCAATCACAATGACGTCACGAGTCCACAAGCGGGACAAGCTCAATAACGGGTATGTCCTCCATTGGCATTGAGAACAGTAGTGCATCGACGACGCATAGAGCCTATCAAACGTGCAAGGAAGGCTTGTGGGATGTCACGCCAGATTCTCTCAAGTTCCGTTGCACGGTCACGGGCATTGTCTGGCGGATGAAGAAGACGGCGTAGACGTCGATCCATCTCGTCCCAAACATGCTCTATCGGGGAGAGATCCGGTGAATTTGCAGGCCAAGGCAGTAAGTCAACTTTGTGGTGTTGCAAGAAATCCATAGCAACCCTTGCCGTATGAGGGCGGGCATTGTCCTGTTGGAATGTTAACCCAGGGCCATGACGTTGCAGAAAAGGAATTGCCACAGGTCGAAGAATCTGATCCCTGTAGCCCACACCAGTTAAGTTGCCCTGAACAATAACCAAAGGAGTTCTTTGGCGTGCTGTTATTCCACCCCAAATCACCACGGAACCACCACCAAAGCGATTCCTCTCCCAAGACACAGGCCTGTGCATAACGTTCTCCCACACGTCTATAGGCACGCTGACGTCCACCACTATGGGAAATGTTAAACCTGGAGTCATCTGTAAAAAACAACATTTCTCCACCAAAACAAGGGTCTGCGGACATGATTTCGGCACCACATTCGGCGAGCTTGTCGATGACGTTGTGTCAGGATAGGCCGTATGGCGGGACGTCATGGTCTGATCCCGTGATGACGTAAACGTTGTCGAACTGTGTTGGGGTGGATACGGCGAAGTCCTGGGATGGTTCGGGCAGTCATCACTGCAGTCTGAAACCTGTGGCGAAGATGGGTCACCCTTATCCATCTGTCCTGTCTTGGCGTTGTTACACGTGGACGTCCAGAACGTGGCCGATCGATGACGTCATTTGTGTTCTGGTAGCGTCTCACCAGTGCAGAAATGGTGTTCCGGTGGCAGTGGAAATGTGCAGCCACTTGTCGTTGAGACATCCCCACGGACCATCCCAATGGCCTCATGACGTTGTGCAGACGTGAGCCTTGGCATGCTATGCGTTTCAATAGCCGTTTAATTTTTTGAACGATCGCAAGGACAGGGGTTGAGCTTTCCAAAGTGACAGTATTGTGTGGCATTCATTTGCTCTGTTTCTCTCTCCCGGAATGCACGTGCAACAACGTCTTGCACGTCTCAAGGACGAACCCACTGACGTCACGGAACGTGGCACGTGCATGCATGTTGGATACATGTCACTAATCTCTGAGTTTAAATCCTTATGTGTCTACACAGGTTTGATAAATTTCGATTTTAAATTTTTGTATGCACTGTTTCTTTATGTGCCTAGTATAGTTGTACCGTTAAAGCAATAGCCAAATTTCTGAAATGTGTATTCTCCAAGAATGTTTGAAACAGTTTTTATATTTTCACCTGACAACAAAAATGTTGTAACAACAATTGTAACATGGGCCAGTTTATTACTGAATAAAATCTGTCTGTCTGTCTGTCTGTTTACAATCTGAATAGTGTATACCAGTCTTACACATCTCGATCACCCTAAATACATGGTATCAAGCAATCTGTCCAGTTTCTTTCAGTGAAAGCTTCACAAATAGTGGCGCACAACTGATCCAAGAAGCGTCAACGTTTAATTTTCCTATCTTACTCCTATCGTTCTTCCAAAATCGAAGGTGGTCATACCATCATTTGTTATACTTTAACAGCGGTTGTGATGTGTTCTAATTTGTTCATCATTTTCATACAACCATTACGAAATATTTCATTTGTATAATTTTTTATTTATCTTGAGTGTCCTTTTACTATGTTTGAAGAGTATGGTTTGTGAAGTGCGAGGACGGGCGAACTACTAACTTTGCTATCTTTGCCATTGCATCTATGTCTTATAGCAGTTTAAAGCTCTATAGTCCATGGGTCTTCATAACAGTTCCAAGCTCCCTGATGCATTGGTCGTCCTTCATAGCAGTTTCAAGCTCCCTGATACATAGGTCTTCATAACTGTTCCAAGCTCCCTGATCAATAGGTCTTCATAACAGTTCCAATCGCCCTGATCCATAGGTCTTCAAAACAGTTCCAATCTCCCTGATCCATAGGTCTTCATAACAGTTCCAAGCTCCCTGATCCGTGTGTTTTCCTCTTTAGGCTATTTTAGTCCATTGAGTGCTGGACATCAGGATTGATGGTGAAGGTTTTCCACGATTTTCCTTTCATGCAGAACAGTGTTGTGCCTGCATGTATGTACATGAAACCATGCAGATGCAGCGTAATATATATACAGCGGTACTGATCAATATCGAAGTACACAGAGACTATACATCATGTTTGCATTGTGCATCGATTCGGCTATTTGACCAAATTAATGATATTTTAAAAGATAAATTATAGACTTTTTAATATAGTTTTAATACTTTTACTCTGTAAGCGTGTGTACTTGACTGTAATTTACAACAGCTTGTAATGATTGTAACTAAAATGTGACAACACTTATCTGCCACGTCCTGTATGGCTGCGTCTGAATAGAGCACTACTAGACCCAAATACTCAGAGTCAAAATCACCATTGAAGGCAGACAGGTACTCATTTAGGAAAAAATAATGAGCTCCAGGAAGTACTAGAAATCCATAATTTTGCCTCACTCTTTACATAGAAAAATATGAATAAATCGATCATTAAATATGTTGAAACAGGTGTGTCGTGAAATGAAACATTGATCAGCTCCACATTTTCAGAGACAGCATTGTCTGATGTCATGAAACGGTGATCGAAAACATACTACGTCTCGGAAAATATATCCAAACCGAAACATGAGTCTCATTTACTAATTCAGACAATGAGCTCCGATCTGAAAACTTTCTAGTGTGAACATGAAAAGAGACACTACAAACAAACTATGGTTACACTAAATTCCAATTCCTTGTTTCATAAGAAAATGGTATTTACAAATGAATTTTAATTTTAAACTTTAAAATCGTATTTCTATATTTTATGACGATGTTTAGGCAGCATGTCGTTAACTAAGACGTCACAGACTGCCCCTGTTTGAAGAGGTTGTACAATGATTCTCAATTCATCTGGCTGACTGGTGACACCTGTTATATGTTGTTTGCGCTTATTAAGTGTATTTTTATAACGTACAATGTGACTGATATATTATCAAGGCCGTACAAGACCGGCACACTTTTCTAGCGGCCGAGCCTCGTTTTGAGATTTCCACCATTTCCAGATTTCCGTTTGCCAGAGCACCCTGTACGACGTGTTTGCAAAGATTAGAAGGGGCGTAGTGTTGCAATATGCAAATGATTAGATATCAAATAATACTAATAAATATATTTTACATATTCAGTTGAATGAGTTGGTCTCAAAATTCTGGACTGGTTATCGTACTAAGATGCGCAATAGGACGGTACACAGTTAGCCGTAAACGAGACTTTTCTGTAATCAATGTTTTGACTTGCCAGCCTCATGTTAAGTGGTCTGTGCCTCAGTGGCAGGAATAACTGCCGGGCGGGTCCTATAAAATTTTAGTGTATGTGTTAGTGTATGTTTGGCGCCGCTCTCAGCAATATTCCAGCTCCATGGCGAGTATGGACCAGACAACCCAGAGAATGACACCATGACCATCGATACACTCAACTGGGATACGATGACATGTGTCAACCAGGTCAGCCAGCTTGAACACCCGATCCCGTTAGTTGCCTCTTATGACAAGCATAGGTTGTTGAAGGCCCATTCTATTGAGCATTTTCACGAATCTTTAAACCTCTACACAGAACACAAGGAGTTAGCAAAGTGTACCGTTAAGGACTAGCATAAAACATACCAGACCAGTAGTGCGGTCTTGGTCGGACGTAGTCCTCCTTTAAAATATTGGTGAAAGGTGACGTGGGGGTTTACTCAACGCTTTTTATCTGGTTTGACACACCTTTATTTGGCAATGTTCATGGATCATTCATTTCATTTTATATTTCCGTACTAAATGTAAGGTGAAATGTTCTGGTTCACGGATGCTGACATTGGTATAAGGACACATCTGTAACTGCTTAACCATGGAACCATACAACTAGTTACTATGGCTTCCTGGAACATTAAACCGGCGTATAAAAGACGTGTAATTGGTAACATGGTGAGCTGCAAGTGTTCAATTTGTGAACGCAATTATTTCCAGATTGTCAGTTATGAAATGTGATGTAATAGACGCGAAACATACCTGGAGAACTGATGTAGTTTGATTAAATTAAAGCAGCGCTGACGCAAACATAAATTCTTGAGCAATGGCGAAATGTTTCTTGTGATGGTTTGAATTTCGACAAAGGAGCTTGAGGACTTAAGGTTTATGATTATGTAACTAACTGAAAACATGCACTGTCCAATTGAATCATTAATATAGAACCTCTGGTTGCCGCATTTTACCATTTTTAATGTGTTCTTTTATAATGATGACCATGTTCCGGATACATCTGAGTGTTCCGTTTTATGATAAAACTACGCCGTTCGTCCATGGAACTGTTTGTTATTTAACGCCACTCTCAGCAATATTCCATCTATATGACTTTGTGTATAATCGAGTCTGGAGCATACAATCCAGTGATCAACAGCATGAGCATCGCTCCACGCAATTGGGATACGATCACATGTGTGAACCAAGTCAGCGAGTCCGTGGTGATCGAGGCTCAATCACCGGGTTGTCTGGTCCTGATCATTTACAGAGAGTGAGTGATTTTAGTTTTACATCGCTCTTAGCAATATTCCAGCAATATCACGAAGGGGAGACACCAGAAATGGGCTTCACACATTGTACCGGTGTGTGGAATCGACCTTGGATCTTTGGCGTGGCGCTTTTATCACTAGGATTCCTCAGCGCCCCCTGTTTGAACATAAGACTGGAAATATTTTTCTGGTACTGACAGCTACAAAATACTTGACACGTCGTCAGAGCACTACATATATTTTTACAATATCTTATTAGATTCATCAAGGAAACGGAAACTTGTAGGTAATTCAAAATAACAATAGGGAGTCCTGTTGAATTAGCTTGTTGAAACACTGCAGGATATCAGTATCCGTGTCTATTTATATGTATAATAAGTATTATACTCCCACTTTGTCCGGATCCGTGAAATTAGTCAACACCTACGCGAATCAAACACTCACTCAGTGTGAATTGGCGCGACATGTTTCCGCATCACGGGTTAGGATCGTGTTGTCTCGAACAGACCACGCATATGAAAGATGAAACTCTGAAAACATTAGTGAACACTTTGGAAGGATGTTCCACGACCCACCAAATCCAAATAATCACGGTGATTGGGTGTCCGGGCGGTGGGTAGTATAATGACTAAAGCATCATTCACTCGTAACGCCGAATGCCTGGAGCTTCATTCCCGATGATATCTGTGTTACCTTAATGAATACCGGCGCAGCTGTTGGCGAAGCCGCTAGATTTATCAACAGTCACATAAACCATGAACCCCGTGCTAAATGTGATGATACCTGATGTTATTACTCGCCCGTGGAAGATGTTGCAGTGTAATATTTTTTCGGCAATAATACACTAGTGTAATACCGGTAGACGTATGACGTCATAATGGTTTACAGTTATGACGTCACAATGCTAATACCTCTGTTACAATGGTATTAGACCCTGCTTGACACGTGGATAGCTCAGAGAGTCATCACACTGTAGGCAGTTTCTATCAATTTATGTTGGAGACTGATAAACAAAATATTTAACTAGCTAGCTGAAATACCATTTTATTAAAATCATGAAAGATTTGGTATCGTTTTGATACTGAGCCAATAACTCGTTTAAATAAAAATGGTATTACACGGAAGGTGGTATCATCTATATAGAGATACACATATTGAATGAGTGTATCATGGGATATGATGAGAACCAGTGAAGCCAAGTACCCAAGTAGCCAAGTAGCAGGCGTTCATTGTTATAACGTACGCAGATCGCTCAACATAAGGACACGGAATAGTTAAACTGTGATTCAATTCTTATGTACGTATTACAGGCCGTGAAAAATTTCTGTCTCCCTATAAATTACCCGGATCCTTCCCTTACATCCCGGTTCATGGCCGGGACGGATAAAATCGCGACGCTTCTCGGTTCAATGAGCGTAGCCTTCGCGGTACTTGCAATGCAATGGTATGGCTGAATGAACGCGGCACGGCATCTTTAGCTTTGGCGGTACTCCCCTACTCCCTTGGAAATTAGCTACCCCGGGAAATCCGAAATATACATTTTAGCCTTCCCGGGACATCTGAAAAACAAATTTTAGCCTTCCCGGCACGACACCTACATCCCTACAGCCACATACAGACCAATTTAAAACCTCGAGAGTCACAGATACACGCAGGTTCGTATGTCTGTATCCTACTGTAAGTTCTTCATGGCTTACTGCACCATGCGGTCCAGGTGTTAGACTAGACATTTATGACACTGATTCTTTCTGGTATTTAATCGCACCCATCAGACATCATTCCACTCCGAGTTTCTATGTCTACAACAACAAGCGATGGGGTTCTATCCAAGGAGAAGTAGTACACAAGCCACATAAGCAGGCAGCTGGCGCCACGTGACTGGAGCAGAACTGGTTGTGAGTGAGTGAGTGAGTTAAACTTTGACATCGCATCGGCAATATTACAGCCATATAGCGATGAAAAAAAGGTAATCAATTTAAATAGTTGTCGACAAAGGACAGTAAAACAACTAGAATGTCACAGATATAAATGTAAAACTAGTAATTAAATCTAAAACATTTTAACTATAGAGGACAATACAATACAAAAATAGGCTATAGGCTAACAACTGAAGGTAGATCACCATACTAGGGACCAGAACTTGTTGTGCAGGATACAGGAGAGAAACCATGAGATCACTGTGATAAGTGTTGACATAGTGTTGCCACAGTTGCTGATGCAAGGGCTCTGCTGGACAGAACTGGGTTGTACGCCTTTCGACTATATTCCAGGACCACTAGGGAGGACACCAGAAACAGACTTCACAAAATGTATCTATGTGTTGGATCAAAGCCTGGCCTTCGGGCTTAGTACTGGGCTGCCCTATTGCCACGTTCCTGCTACAAACAACCTTTGGCTCCTTTTTGTGTAGTTTATGTTTGTTGAGTTCGTGGCAGTCTGCATGTTCCAATGAGCCAGTTAGGTTTGCCGCCTCTGTTCGCAATATTCCAGCCATATCAGGGTGGAGAACCTTAGAAATAGGCTTTACGCAATGTACTAATGTGGAGACTTGAACCTCGTAGTCATATCACTAGGAAAAAGTCATGGAATAGTATATTCCAGTTGATATAACTAGTTGAGTGAGTTTAGTTTTAGGCTGCTTTTAGCGATATCCCAGCAATATCGCGGCGGGGGACACCAGAAATGGGCCTCACACATTGTACCCATATACTAGTTGATTTCCAAAGCGGAACGCAGACACTAATTATTAAATACACCAACTTATGAAATGAAGACTTAATGTATCTATTTCCCTTCTTGAATGGGAATCCGACGGTTACAATCGCATCTGATCCGGAGTTGGCAAATACAAAAAACACAAAACTGATTGAAAAATGTCTCGAATCGCACATCCAGCCTTCTAGAAACTATCCCTTCCCGACATTTCCAAAATGATCAAGCTTGCAATATCACCTACACATAACAATATATCCACCAAGAATGCACGTGTTTTCATAGATATACGTTCATATGTTCAGATGTATGCACAATTCCCATTAACACATTAACATTGATGAACACGGTTTTAAATTACAGGATGCATAATTATAATGTATTATCGGCTTATAAGAACAGATAACGGACAATATCCTGCTCTTGAGAGGCACCACCATCGCCTTGTACCCGTGTCGTGGTTCTATGTTTCCCATGCGCATAATGTTTCACTGATTGGTACATATAGCCACTGTGTTCTGTTCCAGTGAGACACCATTAAGTCTGGCAATATCTTCCTGGTTCTGATTGGTACATATAGCCACTGTGTTCTGTTCCAGTGCACATCATTAAGTCTGGCAATGTCTCCCTGGCTCTGATTGGTACATATAGCCACTGTGTTCTGTTCCAGTGGACACCATTAAGTCTGGCAATATCTTCCTGGTTCTGATTGGTACATATAGCCACTGTGTTCTGTTCCAGTGGTCACCATTAAGTCTGGCAACATCTTCCTGGTTCTGATTGGTACATATAGCCACTGTGTTCTGTTCCAGTGAGACACCATCTAGTCTGGCAATATCGTCCTGGTTCTGATTGGTACATATAGCCACTGTGTTCTGTTCCAGTGAGACACCATCAAGTCTGGCAATATCTTCCTGGATCTGATTGGTACATATAGCCACTGTGTTCTGTTCCAGTGAGACACCATTAAGTCTGGTAATATCTTCCTGGTTCTGATTGGTACATATAGCCACTGTTATCTGTTCCAGTGGACACCATTAAGTCTGGCAATATCTTCCTGGTTCTGATTGGTACATATAGCCACTGTGTTCTGTTCCAGTGAGACACCATTAAGTCTGGCAACATCTTCCTGGTTCTGATTGGTACATATAGCCACTGTGTTCTGTTCCAGTGAGACACCATTAAGTCTGGCAATATCTTCCTGGTTCTGATTGGTACATAACCACTGTGTTCTGTTCCAGTGAGACACCATTAAGTCTGGCAATATCTTCCTGGTTCTTGCTTACAGGAAACCTATGAACGTTGGTTCGAGTCATGGTTTCGCCCTGCTTCTATTTCCAGAAGCAGCATGACAACATAATAAAGGTCTACGACGTGATTCCCTTCGTGTTTACATCTGACATCAAGCTGACTCCTATGGTGGCTGATTAGGGCCATCGCTTTCTCGACCCTAATCAGCCACCATAGACTCCCCTGATGTAGTTAAAATACTGTTTTAAGCGGCGAAATATAATCTCATTCACATTACACGAAATAAGAAGCAATGACGTATTGTTTGCTTTCATCGCCCAGGACGTAATTGATATGCTCTGCACATCAGCTCATGACGTTACTTTCCATTAACGGCGAATTATTAACTTCAAGATGCATTTTTGATAGATGTCTACAGACATAGCAGGTCTCATGGATGGTTAGACGTTGTGGAATGTTGGTGATATCACATTGCTGTAACACGTTACTGATGAAAATGTAAAAGCTCGAATAATTCAGGATAATCTCATTACATACAATGTAGCTAGTGTTCGTTTTGCAGACCGCATAGGAAGCCTGGTGAATCTTCCCGGAGAGTGGAGGTCGGCTCGATATCAAGGTTGCATCATGCCGAAAGATAGTACCTCGGGTTATCCTGCCTAGTTCTCGGAATTAAAGTGAGTGAGTTTAGGTTTACGCCCCTTTTAGCAATATTCCAGCAATATCACCGCGGGAGACACCAGAAATGGGCTTTACACATAGTACCCAATACTACCCATGTGGGGAATCGAACCCGGGTCTTCGGCGTGACAAGCGTGCGCTTTAACAACTAGGCTACCCCACCACCCCGGAATTAAAGTATAAAACAAGCTCTTGCTACTTTCGGAGTCAGAGTGATGCAGTATGATGAGCCTCAATGATACATCCATGTTAAACTGTATCATAACACGCGCAAGCGCACACGCATACGCACAAGCACATACTTAGAAACGCACGGACATTGATTTTACGTCTCATGTAAGATTTCAGCATGCAGCCTGGGACAAATTTGAACATCTTTCGTACTCACTTTTAATCATGAATGGGACTCCCTGAGCGTGAAAATAGATCATCCTGATGTGGTTTGCCCGTACATAAGGAACAGCGGAGTTACAATTAGTAGCCTGGGCCCCCGTTTCCCAAAGCGATCGTAGCGCTAAGGTGATCGTAACTCCCATACATTAACATCGACTTACGACAGTCGTTGCGCTACGATAGTTTTGTGAAACGGGGCCCTGCCTGGTATCAATACTGCACCCATCGGGAAGGTCAAAACCTTCTCTATCAGAGCTCCCACAGTGAAAACAGACTCTTGACTCCTTAGCAAATATTTTACTTTTGGTTTAAACTGGGTTTTTTAGTTTTATAAATGAAATCGGTATTGATAAACAAGAATAATTCCTTTTATGAATCCAGCCCCAGGAAGACAGATTACAGCTGGAGCGTTCATATAAACACATTAATGTTCTATATCAGTGTACAACGATCAAGATTAATCTGTAACCATAACCGGGAGATAGTGGTATCCGAGCTACATCTATGCAGTATTAAAATATTACATTTGGCATAAATTGCATAATTCAGCAATAAACGAGACAGGCGCCAGTTCAGCCCATGGGTTAACACATGTGATACACACTGCACTTGTGGAAGGAAGGAAGCGTCGTCAGTGCTGAACTACGGCGATGTTGTATGGTTCTGGCTGACCCAAAACTTCATAACCTCCATGGGCAATGTACCGATATATATCAGAGCATAATGTAAATGAGTATTTCAAAGCTAGACATCTAGTCTATATTTCATTCCAAATTAACCGTTTTGGCTAGACGTATAATTTATGCTTGAAAACTAGGAGCTTAATTAGAAAATAAAAGGACCGAAAGTTACGTTGACGTGGAGGATGTGGTCGTGAACGGTTAAAGGGTGAGTACACCCAGTCAAATTGGCTGTCACAGCGTGTGGGATTCAAGTCATCC